AGAGGACAAAAGATGAAAATATTAGAATTTATAAACCATTCGACATTGAAACATTGCCAAAATTAATTATAAAATGACTAATTGGTACAAATAATAAGTCTTGGCTCCATTTAACGTAGGAAAAAAAAAACGTAACGTAACGTAACATTAACTCGGTTACGGTCCATAACTTATCGTTCTTGTTTCAACACATTATTTCATAAATTTTAATAAAAATTTGACAAAATGGACAAATGCCATCCGTCTAATAGAGACGAATGGCACTGCACTCTTTAACACTCGCCGGTTTAACGGGTAAACTCTATAAATATAATTGAAAGACGTCATTTCTCTAAAGTAACTTTCTGTTCTAAACGATCCCAGTTCAGAACCTTATTTACTTCGAAGGTCCCGTAGGGGACGAGAAATTGAAAACAATCTATTCTACGACAGTAGTTTACCCAATCTCTGCTTATTTTTTTCCTTGCGTCGTCGAATTTTTTAGTGAATTTAAACACTAACTCGCCGGTGACAAAATGCATTTTTTGTCTTGGGAATTTACTTCCATAACCATTTGTATTAAATCGTATATAAGTAGTCTCGCGCGCTATCATAATTTACAGCGATTCTCAAATTATTTAACGCAGAAACCCTAAAAAAACCACAGAACCTATTGAGAAACCTTCTCGTTTCCACTAAAGTCGAACCATTAATTCTGATCCTTTAATGTAAAGAAGTATATTTCATTAGTAGATTTTAAAAAAATAAATCAAGAGTATAATTAAAGAATATTTTAAGTGATTATTTGCATTTTAAGAATATTTTGGAGTGTTTTTCCCATCATCTATCACGGTTGATTCACTCTTGGTACGTATACAGGGAGACTATAAATGAATCTGGTTATTTAATATAAAGGCAAGATGCGAAAACTACTTTAAACTTTTAGCAACCGAAACTAAATAAATAAAAATGAAGTTTAAAACTAGTTCTTCACTTCATTTTTGCCGCTTTCGATTTATTTTCACGTCATTCAGTTCGTAGGTATTCGATAAATCGATTTCGGTTTTAGTTCCTCCACCGGCAACCAGATGGAGGGACGTTGCGAGTGTATTTTGGCAATTTGGTGCTGGTAAACGGTATTTTAAATGCATTCGATATATCAGAGGCCGGGTGTAAAAAGTCTTGTTCTTCTATTTTTTCAAAAACTTCTCCCCGTCACTTTGCAATTAATGCGTGTTGTCTTCCGTTACGTCATGGCGTTTCTTCCTCCAGAAAGTGCAATACCTGACACTGGTGAGATAAAATGACGTTTTACGCGTCGATTCGGCGCCACGTAAACGGCAAGAAACGAGTAAGAAGAACTAATAAAGAGCGGAGAATGGGGAATGTTGCGCCCGAAGCAACAAACAGAAGCGGAAGAGAATCCCGAGCCTATCACGTGACATCTGGCAATCCGCCGGCCGATTCCAAAACAAGATTAGAAAATCCAAACGGAAGACGTAGAAACTTTAGCCCGACATCGCCATTAATAGCTTAATGAGGTTGGACTGTAAGTGAATATGAGGCTTATCTGCAGATAGGCGCAAAAGTCAGTCTGTCGGGCCAGGTGACTTAACTACCTTCCGACCTAATCGTGCCGCAGATAGAGTGGTGCCATTTCCTCACAAAACCCAAACTCTTATCAGCTATCGCGGTTTTTAATTAAAATGTTTAATTGTGTGTGCGACGGGCCATCAGATAAGCCGCACATTAATTAGCTGTTGACAAAAGTAGCTCAAATCGTCACATCGAACCGCAACTCCCGCATTAATTAGCTTTTTCATCCCGATCACGTGACCAGAAGCGCAGGGGGGACGTCAGAGAGAGAGTTTTGCCGGCTATCTGTCGCTGTGCCGGCGAAAGGAAGATGAGGATAGCGTTTTCGTCTTTTGTTCCAACTAAATGTGCATATTTATGATTTGCTTGCCGTTTGTTTATCTCCAGATAATAATTATTAATTTTCGTCCCATATGCCGTTTTGTGTTCGTCATGGCGCCCAAAAGAAAGTCTCGAAACGTCACAATCGTTCTCGTTTCTCTTTTAACTATTCTGTCGGAAATATCAGAAATAGTCGTAAAAATTTCCCTTTTGTCCTACTTTTCTTTTTACAAAAGAAAGAAAAAAGTTTATAAAAACTAATCATTAAACTGGGGTGGAGCCAATTATTTATGTTTAAATCGAGAAGCGGGCTCGACGCCCCCAAAAAGTCACTTAAAAATGTACTATGTAAGAGTAATTTTCTTCTTCGTAACCGAAATACGCTCGAGTAACGTAACAATATGTTTACGTTTTTTCACGTTTGTTACGTCGTGAAAGTTCTATTAAACACTGCGCGATTCCTTTGCTAAATATGAATGAAAACAGACTTCTAGGCACACACTGAGGTTTTCAATGAAATATTTATGAATGAATGCATCAAAACTGCACAAACCTAGTCAGATCGCTCGATCGATTAGATGATTCAAATTTTAAGCTTGGAAACAGAAGCATTTCGGGTTTTTGAATCGGTGTTTATAGCAATCTATTACCAGAAATACAATTCTAACCGGAAACCGTAGATGTGATATATTGGTACCAGTATATTTCTTGTTACCACGTATTCCGAACGACGCCGTGAATAATATTTCTGTAAGTTACGATGTTGTAAATGCTACGAAATTCGAGTAGAGCTCGTAAAATGGCACAATATCGTCGAAACGACACGTAGACAGACAGACGGACACTATTTACGATGGCAGGTCGATGATCGGATCGACCATACCGTTAATCGTTAGAGATTTTACAAAATATATCGCAAGAAAGAATAATATCAATTAAAATCATATCGGACGACAGCATTCGAGGTGTCGCACGCCTTACGAAAACATGCAAAGTGATAAACGAAACTTAATAAAATTAGTAGAAAATGTCGATTTTCCATAAGTTTAATTGATACGGTAATTAAATACCATCAAAAATTAATGACTTTTAAGATTTTCTATCATCCGTAACATCCGATTTAACAGCATTATCGTAGATAAACAGTGTTGTTCAATTGCTATCGCGATAATATCCCATAAACCAACGCACATAATCAAAAGGTGGGTCTAAAACTTTAAGTTTCAGATTTTCCTTTTGATTCTATCAATCGGTTTGTGGGATATTTTCATTTTTAATCGCAGTAGTATCCTATTTTTATTGATTTAATTGATTTTCTTTCCATGCCGCTTCATTCTGATGTGTTTTCGAATTAATTTGATATTGTTCTGGTGAGAAGATCGCTTCGATTCGTTGTTGGTCTCTAATTCGGTCTCCTTTATAGCGCGACATCATTAAATAACGTTCCCGGCAGCCATATTTAAAACTTTCTTCGCAAATCGACCAATAAGATTAAAGAGATGTCAACGTAAACTACTGTAATATAGGTAAATATAATAATGTTTTTGCACTTATCGGTTTGAATTTTTCCAGCATTTCGACGTCTTTAAATTGGGAAAATTCAAATTAGGGCGAAGTTTATTGTCCGAGAACTGGCAATATTTATAACGGTGTCATCCGCGATTGGTCGTTTCCAGCCGGAAACCGTTCGGTTAGTAGAGTGACACTCAAAATATTTGTTAGTCGGAATTCGTGGGAATTAATTTTCGCTTTATTCGCTGCCGAATGGCCACGGGGACCGTCCTCCCCCTTCCAGAAACATTGACTTAGTCACTCGGATCGTCCGTTCTAATTGGTGGAAACACGCCGGGAATGACGGTTACACTCTCCGACTTCTAAGTTTCTCTTTAATTAAGAGGAAGAAATTGACGTAGAAAGAAGAAAGTGACGTATTTCCGATTGTTATTCACTTTCATGCCAATCACCGGATGGAATTGGAAACAAATTTCATCTCTATCGAAACTTTGCAAGGGAAAAGAAATCTCGGCAACCCAAACTTTGGTAGTGATTACGAGGGACCAATTCTCAGATATGTCCAACCACGAATTTCGAGTCGTTGTTTCTCCAGATATACTAGCGCACTACGTGAAAAACAGTGAAAAAAATACATTTGAAAAAAAAAGAAAGAAATAAGAAGTAATAAAGAGACAAATTCGAGTTAATAAACACAAATACTTAGATTTAAATTTTAAAAAAATACTGCCTGGATTAAGAATATAATTATAGTCTGAATTATAGGAGATTTTATAAATTATCTTATAGCATTGAAGATTCTTTTACTACGAATTACGTGTAATATATTTCGTTTAACTGTGGCTAAAATTTATCAGCATAATTTAATATTACATATAGAAATTATTTATATCGATATAGAATCCGTTAATAAATTGAATTTCAAGATTTCGGAAAGATACTCTGATGGTAAGATGTTAGGTGTTCCGTGCCCACTTAATCCACGTTTTCTGTGTGCCTCGAAATATAAATGACAATCGTCACTTAACTATGTACAGTACAGTACCTCGTTTATTTCGAATTAATTCTTCATGGAAAGACAGAAAATTATATCTTTCATAGTTATATCTTTTATATTTGCTTATGTAACAATGGTAATACGGTGTAGATAGAAACGTCCGTAGTAATCTTTAATTTTAGAGCCTATTTAGGTTATTTAATGAGAGTAGACGATAATTATAGCATATGGAGTTAAAGAGAAAGATTGCAGACGTAAGCAATCTTATTGTTTTCATAGGCCGTGAGAATTTTTGAACTGGGAGTATTTAGAGATCGGGCTTGTAGTTCTTCAACCATAATGTCAGTTTGTAAGAAGCATCTCATATACAAAATATCTGATTCTGTATAAATAAACAAGTAATATAAACCCTAAAAGTGCCTTCCATACTTTAGATGTATAAAACATATAACAGAAGTCGACCGATATCTTTAAAGAGAAAGTAAAACTAAAAGTGCCCAAAACATCATCGTCTGGTGGAATCTTTACGCCGATAGAATAGGCAGATTGCCGCAATCTCTGGTAAAGAAAAGACATCAGAAGGATAGTCACCTACCAGTTTTGCCGTCTTCCCCAGTTGCTCCGTTGTAACCACATTGCGAATGTCTACCCAACCGCAGAGAGCAATAGCGAACCTGATGAACTTGGAGGTTCCTTTCGTTGCTGAATGCGATGCCACAATGTACGCATTGAAACTTGGCACCTGCAACCGGATGGGGCATGGCTATCAGATACCGAACCTACACATGGGTTTTTGCACATATATTAAGACCTACACACCAAATATTGCTCTGTCATTAACCGTGTTGTGAGAAACGAGTTCCAATTAACTCTAAAAGATTTACCTGTAGAACCTATCGAATTTGCGCATTTCTTTAATTGCAATTTGGTGTGTAAGCGAAGTTATGAAATTAATTGCAACACTACTTAAAACTGAAAGTACAAAAATCTTTTTTTTAACAAAAAAAAAGCATGCACAGACAAACACTAACCAGAGAATAAAATTTGATTGACATCACCACACTCTTTATCTCATTGGTAACTTAATTAAATAAATTATAATTAAAGCTGCTAATGAAATAACTTAATGATCCGTAGTGATTTTAGCACATTTAGTAACTAGCCTAAAATTCAATTTTCACAAAAACCTTTAAATTCGCAAAAAAAAAATAAAATAAAATAAAAAATAATAATAAATCTGTAGGTTTTTTAGTAACTCATGGCGCGATTTTATCTCATTAAATTTATCTTTGTGAAATTTCGATTTAAAACAAAACTTGAAAATAGTTTAAATTGTTTTTAATTTTCTATACGTAACATTTTCCCCGACAGATGGCAGTAGCGTCTTAACACCCCGGTAGTGTAAAATTTAGAATCGTTTCTAGACCTTCCATTATTCAATATAAATATAATCGCATGCGTTTTGAAATTTTGTAGAAAGTATCAATCAAAGAAAAAATTTAACTTATTAATTAATACTTCGATTTCGATATATTTACATAAACAAAATTTATATAATGTTAGTTCCGGTCCGGCAAATAACCACTTTAAATCGGTGGTAACTGGCCAGACCGAACACAGTACCGCGACCAATCGGAATTTAGTTTACGTTCGAATCGTTTCGGTTACCAATCAAACGATCGTCCGTTAATCACGTGATTATTTTCGAATTTCAAATAGATGGAAATTCGTTGTTAATTACGTTTGCGTTAGTGCGTATTTTTACAAATTGTAAATGGCGGCTTAGATTGGTAGATATTTACAATTGCCAAATATTAATTTCACTCGCAAAATGTCTAGTATTAGAAGATTAAGTGAGATCCTCTTGATAAAGAGCATTTTGTGACCGATTACGGCATTGTGACGTAGGTTCCAGATTAATTTGAGATTTCGGGAAAACTTAATTGTACAATTTGAGGAAAGTTTACAGAAAATTTAAATCTAAATAAATGCAAGAAGTTACCTACTTAGTTTTTCTCCATTGCTTTCCGTTGCCGGAGTCCGATTTCCGCCGACTTGAGGAACAAATGGCACATAAATGAAATGGCCACCTAATGGAAAATAATTATAAATATTACTTGTTAATTAAGTTCGAATTGCGAATTATCTATTCAGTAATTGTCTACAGCATATAGAGTAACTGAATTAATTGGGGGTAGTAAAACGCGTTTAACACTCGGTGGTGCCATCTAGCGTTAAAAAAGTCACTAAAAATGCGAATCTCTCACCCGAAGGAAGATTCGAAGTCAATCGGAAAGGAAAGGCCGAGAAATTATTCGATGTACTTCCGGGATATTGATTATTGTTCTCGGAATATTGTTCTGTTTGAGACATTTCCAGACTGGAACCGGGAGAAGTGGAAGATGTGGGACTAAAAGGTTCGTGTTTTAGCAAATCTCCATTGAGAACCGCCGGCTCTTGACCAGATTCTTTGTTCCCCGCAGAGTGGACACTTCTGCTAGGACTTAACGATTTTTGCGACGTTTCTATTCCTTCCTCCGACGTCTTGGGTAAAGCTAATTTATGGTCCTCGAACTCGTGGTTAGTCGCGTAGCATGTGGTGTGCGATGGAAGACAGAAGGCTGGACCGTTGCACGTGCCACTCTTGGAATATCTGAGAGCATCGTTACGAATCGTGTACCATGCCTTTAGTTCTATGTTTGGCGGTATATCACAGGAAACTGTACACCATATCTCTTCTCCTAATTAAAAAAAAAGAAAAGATTATTTGAATGCGAAATTAAGAAATCCGTTCTTAAGAAATTTAATTAATCATCACGCTTGTGCCTGTAGTTTATTTAAATAAAAGAGAGATAACGTTGCAATATTCTTACACACACAACACACAGCATACATAACTTACAACTTATATACATAACATATAGCATCTATGATACAGTTTTTAATAGATTTAATAATTGAAGTATTTTCTATTAGCAATACTTCATATCTCTGGAATCTCTTTGTGTAGTATTTGGGGATTCAATGTCAATGTTTTTTCGATATCTGATGGTTTCAGTCTGGAAAGTATTTTTTGGGTTTATACGTCTCTCGAGGATTTCGTGTCAGTATTTTTCTTCTTTTTTCGGACACACTTAATCGTGATTTCCTACCTTTCGTTAGAAACGATACGTTAACAGTTTTTCTTCGTCTGTCAGGTTAGATATTATCAGTATTTTCTCTTCATTAGATCATACCCAAGAACCAATGTTTGATTTTATTTCTCAGAACTTCGCAGTCGATAACTGTTTCTAATCGAGGGCAAATTGACGAATTTGCCAAATATACATTTATTTGCCCTTGATAATAATTTGTTTTTAAGCACTTTTATTACTTTAAACACTTTTGATGCTGCCAGGAAGCTGCAAAAAAGTGCGGCAATTTGTATGTTTTTCTTTTTGTTTATGGAATTTCTGAAAATCTAGCAAATTTAGTTTCGATCGAAGTAAAATTCGCAACTCAGAACTTATCGAGTGAAGAACCAAGCGTAGAAATCACTAAAACTAAACAAGATAAATGTTTTTAGCCCCTGATATAATTGATTTACCTTTTACAGGATTAAAAATAGCAAAAAACGTATTCAAATTTTGCGTAGAATGTGCGAAAATATGTTATATTTAGCTCTGCAGGGATGATTTAGCTGCAATTCGTGTATATACATCAAGAAAATGCGGTCCGAACACATCTCAGAAGGTCGATGAGCTTAAAAAGTTTTTTTCTAATAGAATTATTTAGTTTACCGATATTTATACGAAATTTTGGTTTAAAACGGAATTTTATTTTTACTTTTTAAATGGGCGGAACGAATGCCGAAATCCGAAAAAACTGGGTTGGAAAAAGTTTTCAAGAATCAAATAAAGAGTTATCGGGGCTTCCTCATCCGTTCATTTCCTATCGTGTTGCTATTCATAACCAGAGCAGCAAATAATAATGACAAATGACCGGATCCAACCTAGCGCACTATCTACGCTTAATGAAACACTATCTTCTGCCATTTTCACCCGTCCGCTCCGTGGCGCCATCTGACGAAGCCCGCTTTAACTAAAGTCACACTTCGAGCCTTAATTTAGCCTTTCAACGGGGCAGTATTGTAGACAGGGATCAGTCTTTATAAATGCATATTTCACTGTATAAAGAAGGGAGAAAGATATTTTTGCAGGCTGTACTGATGATTTATTCCCGTGTTAAAGTAAGAAATTGAGATAGTTCGCGCTATTTGTTACGGACCAATGATTCATTTGGATTAGATGAAAACACGGTACAAAATTTACCAAATATTTATTTTATTTACTAAAAATAACCTATAGAAACTGGCCCTTAGTAAAGATAATAGCATATATTAATCTGAGCATCTCTTACTCTAATCGATAACCGAAGAATGACGCGTTAACTGGTACTGATAATCCGGTATACCGAGGAATATCTGTTACTTTTCCATATACCATCGACGGTATATCGAGGAGTAACAGATCCAACGTAATAAATATTCTTTCTCGAGCGTTAAATTCGAGTATTTCTCTAGGGATCTTAAGCAATACAAGAGTTATTTTTGTAAAAATCCGAGCAATACGTAATATAAATTATGTTATTTAGATATTCGTGAATAAAATTATTTACTTACCGTCCATAAGAACGTTGAGATTAGCTTCTAAAGCGGATGATGCCGTTCGTACTATTTTGAGCCAGGCGCAAGAATCATTCCTTGGCAAAATATGTACTTTTCGTCCCTCTTTGTCACGCGCCTGTGTATGGAAAGGGGTGAAAAATTCGTCAGTCACATACAATTATAATCTAATTATGCCGAAATGTAAAGATTTAATCTCCAGATAATATATGATTAATAGCACAATTAATTTTTTTTATTCGATCTCTAAATTATTTAATTCTCTGCCTACAGGCTCCTTTGTTTAAGTATCCATAAACTAAATATAAAATACTTTATGTGTTAACTTATTGTATTATTCGAATACATTTTTTCTTACAAGAAATTTGGCCTAAAGATATAGGATTAAAATTATACGGACATAAATAAAAATAACTACTCCAAAATAACCTACGCTCGTGTATTTTAATGGGTTCGTAAGCACGTCCATTTTAAAATAACAAGAATATAAGATTTCCTAAGGGGGAATATAGCTTATGTAGGGCTAACTATTGATATTTGCGCGAGAAACCAGTTTGGTTTTATTACTTAACTTTTCTGTTGTCCTCCCCCCTTCAACGTTTTCAACACGCTCTAGCAACTAGTAAAAATTCGTTAATTTATTTATTTAATGGGACGAGATTGTCTCGTGTTCTTGCTTGTATTTTAGCCTAACTTTAGTTACAGCGTAAAGTATTAAGAAAATTCATCCGTGTCCATACATAAAAAAATTTAGATCTAGCTTAGAGATTTACATAGTTTAGGGGAAAAATCCGCAATTTTATTTTTAATGAAGAGGTATATGGGGGCTTGTATAGGGCCCCGGTGAAGCAGGCCTCTTATTCCACTTCTTAATTATTTATTAATAAAAAGCAGACTTAAAGATTTTAAATTTTGTTAGTAAAAGTAGCATTAATTTATAGAGATAAGAACCACTGCGGGCTCTCCAGTTTATTCTGGGTCCATCCATAGCGGTTCCTCCCTCCTTCGACGGCCCCATTAGCACTCCTTAGAAAAGACGTGGATCTTATCGAGTCTTTAATAAGGTCGAAAATTTTAAAAAATTTATCCTGTATTAAATAAATTTTTTAAAAAACCTTTCGCTTAGACTCGTGAAAACCGAATTATTCGGTGACTTTTTATAAAAAAAAAAAAACGATTTCCAAAAATATTCACTTTCTTCTCCACTTTTGACCGTTTTTTCCGCCTACCAAGAAGAAAAGAGTCGATATTTTAAATTTATTATTATTCCGATTCTATTTATTGTGGATTTTTTCCCTGGAGTTTAGAAAATTTAAAATGAAAATTTATTTTAAGATATTTCTAGAAAATCGCATTGACAATTAAACGTGGCGAATGGCAATTTCCAATTAACCGAAAGTCGTTCTAAAATCACTTTTAAGCGTTAAACGAGCTTCCAGCGTCGAATAAAGAAAGATTTTTATCGTCCTTTGCAATGATTTAACGTTTCTTTTTTGAATAAATATACGAAATTTATCTCTTCATCGAGAGATAAGTCTGGAGCAATTGTCACAAAGACAACGACCGAATTTACATCCGCTTTTTTGGCAAGTTTATCGCATTTTTTGACGAAAGATCCACGTAAAACCCGTGCCGCTAAAGTAAATGTAAAGTAAAAATAGAAAATTTTCCATCTTTCTTGCAGTATCCTTTTCGTTTCTACCGTGGAAAAGATGAAATTTTCAATTGCGCCCTGGCTAATTCTTGTAAAAAGGTGATATATTTTGTTTGTGGCAATTAACTTTAATAAGTTGCACACGTAGACCGTCTTTCAATATTAATTAAAATCTTTTCCGTGTAATTTTAACGTCGATAATTGTCTAAATTTCTTCTATTTTGTGACAAATATACACAACTTGTACGAAAACAGTTAGGTGAATTTAACGGTCTTACCTCTAGAACGTTATTTTTGTGATTGTTATCTACGTCAGCTACGATATGTCCACCGTATGGCCCGAAAAGCGTTCCTTCCCTGATAGTCACGTGGCTACAAACAATATAATCGACGTCCGCTTGTTGGGATTCCCGGATTTCCAGTACATCCGTCGGCAATTTCAATACTTCTGCGAGTTCTTCCAATTCGTCTTCTGCTTTCCCTGAGGAAATCGGTTAGAAAATCGTTAGAAATCCGTCTTAATTTGCTCGTCCGTACAAAAAAGTATCCTAATTTAAAATGAAACCGCCCTTCCCGCGCATAATCCGTACCCGACGAATTAACCGAGAGCGCATCGGGTGTAAATTCGACTTGTTTTTGAGGTAAACGAGTGCGGGACCCAACCTTCTCTTTACGACTTCTCGCGTGTCTTCTTTGAGCTCTCTCCAGGTCTCTTTAAGAGAATTTCGGTTCAAAGGGTCCCTTATCGAAGAATGACACATAAAATCTTACTTATTTTTCTATCTTAAGGAGCCCCGGGTGTATTTTTAAAGCCTTAATGATTGCCGACGTCCCTTCGAAAAATGCTAATTTGGTGCCACCCGTTCGTCCTACTTTCTCCATTCTTTTTCCATTAAAGGGTATTTTAGAACATTTTACGAGGGAAATTCTTTTCTCTCCCTGAACTTCCGGTTTAAGTGTTGTAAAATTTTCGCGCCGGTCCTACGCCAATCGTTCGATTTCCTAAAATAATCGATTAATTTCTCGGGCTTTACATCTACGTGACTAACCGCGAGCGAAAAGATAATGCGTGATGACACCGTGTCGTCCGCGATGAAGAATAATTTCGTGTTTTGTCATTGATTAATCTTCAGTTAAAGAAGTACTCCAACTCGATGTCCACTTTGTGCTATCCGCAAATATAATCGCTTTTTTTAAAATAGTTTCTAGAAAATCCGTTCGTGATCTCGTCAGGGTGATGAAACGTTATTCTTTGTCTGTCGGCGATACGTCTCCTTTTTATCTGATACGATGACGAATGCAATGGATCGCGACTAATACGTCCGAGAGTACAATTAAAAGTATTGTGACGTGGAGGTAAAGCGTGTTTATCGTTTCAAAATAATAATTATTGACTATATATTAATAAAAGTCTGCTTTGGAAAGAATCGAAGAACGTTACTACCAAAATTCTGATAAAGAACACCTGGTAAAGTCGTTGACGTACAGAGAAAATAGAAATTTTCCTATTCAAATTTCATTCGTTTCCTTGTTTAAACAGATTTTGTCACGTTATTCAAAAGATATACAAAGACATATTTCAAAAATGCATATATTTAAGGATCCGGTTGGCCGTGTTTATACTAGACTCGGAATTTGCATTTGTCATTTGGCAACGTCATAAATAACATCTCGGGAGATTGTTTTTTTTCTCGACATCGCCGTGTTCCCGTGGAGACATCTCCGATATTTCGTAAAGTGACGATTTCGAAAGTAGATTTGGATTTACAAAAATTTTTTATATCTTAAACAGCCAACAGAATCTATGAATAAACCAATTTTCTATCTCCTTCTGCATACGAAAGGATTATTTTTCTGGTGCTTTATTAGTAAAAACTTTTCAATAAATTTCGTAATCATGTCTTAAAGTAAATCGAAGGAGAATTTGCGGCCGTTACCATACGCGAATTTGTATACCATTAGAATTTCTGTGTTGTAGCCTAAATGCTCTGGTTTCTACTGTACTTTCATACCTCTATATCTATGTACTGTACTTATACTTTAATCCATAGTATTTTGACTGTATTTTGATTCATCGAAAACTCGGTTTTTGGCATCCTTTTCACGTTTCAAACTATACTAAAATCTCATCGATTTAGTCCGGTGGGAGGAGAGAGTATTTTCGAGGCAATCTTTTACGTTTTCAAATGTTTTATAAATCTGTCATTTAGTCATAAACTTCCAACGATAATACGCGGCTATTTTGACATTTATTTTTACGAAATTATTGTCTTTATATAGGTTTAGTCCACGTCGCCGTTTTGCCTAATTCGTCCATTTATACGGGATATTTTTTAGAGGATAGTAATTAATTATTCTATAATACCTTCGACTAAATAATACACGCGGCATCGGCTTGTGTGTGTTGGTATTTTTAAATCGTATTCTTAAAAAAGAAAAGACGGAGAAATTCATTTTTTAGGAGCCATTTTAACCGCTCCATTTTGCAATTACATTTTCCAAAAAACCTCGGCCTCTTCTTATTTAAAAAAGAGCCGGGTTGCGGCATTCGAAGCGCATTACAGGGGAGAGAAAGTTCTCCTTCCCCCCCGGGGTGGGGATTTTTATCCTCGACCGCAGCCGCACAAAACTTTCGACGGAGAAGACGCCAAACTTTCTCGTAACTCTGCGCCAATCGGAAAGACACCTCACTCGGAATCTTCTACTACCGCAAACACGATTCGGCTCCCCTTTTCACACCCCCTACGTTGTCAACGCCGCCGATTTATCTCGGCATGGCCAGCCGTCCGGCGCGTCAGCCGGACTTAGATAGGAGCGTGCCATTTCTTTGGGCATTCGTGCATGTGTTATCTCCTCTGACCGTCCCTCTAGTCAACGACTAGCCGGCGAGACATCAATCTTGGACATTCGTTCCCCCCTCTATGTTTTACAGAACCTTCCCCCTCCCCAAACCCACCGTCGTGTGATATACCGGGCGAAACTGTTTACCGAAACAAGCTTCTAACTCAAACAACGTGTGCAGCGATTAGTCGATGCTTCCTTTGCCTTTTTTTAATCTTCCTTTAATAGTTCTCTTACTCTTCAATCTGTTCAGATTAAAGTCGGATACAGCACGCTCTGAAGGATAAGCAACCACTCGAATAACTACGCTCCAATTTTTCCACTTTTCCCTTTTAAATTTATTTATTTTTCACCCTTCTTTCTGTATTAAGGCTATTTCTGGTCGGAAGGCGAATAAATAAACCTTCAAACAGCATTCGACCTCCAAGCTTCCAAATTCTCTTTATAGAATTTTTTTTATAATTTTAATTGCGATTTCGATCGATAGATGGCAATATAAGCGGGGTGGATGATTAAACTAGGCGCATTTATCGTCGTCCTTCCATTTTGCATCCAGAATAACTCGATTTTTTTTCCATTTAATTCTCGTTTCTTTAATTTTAATGAAAATCGAATTAATTTTAATTCCTAGGTCGAACGAATTTAGCATTATAAACCGTTCCTATAAATTTTCCTCTCGTTTTTACCGACGAGGATGATTCGATTATTTTTATGTTTGTACGTTTTTTATCGATTAATAATTAGAAAATCATCTTTTCGCTTTAACTTTATGTATATTGATATAAATATGGCGGCCGGTTGTGACGTCCAATGTGGTGGAGCTGCGATGGCAGTTCTTTTTCGACCGGACTCCAGACCGTATTTTATACAAATTTCAAACTCTTAGTCCCTATTTTACACGTAAATATTATCTTTCTATTGTATTCCAGTTATTTACACAAACTTATTTTAAAATAAGCGGCAGAAATGGGTACAGAGCGGCAGTTACTTTCAATACACTTATTAACGTTTTTATCTTCTGGAGCATCCCCGAATAATTGTGGAATCGTTCTTATAGTTAATTACGATTTATATAAAATGTAAATATTGTAAAGAAGTTAAAAAATTAATCCAAATCGTTGAGAAAAGGGGGAGTTTTCCAAAGGAGAAATGCTCATTAAGGAAAGCGTATTGGCGATATTTTCGAATGGTTTTAATGGATTGAAAAATAGTCAGCCTTAGGTCAACCTGGAGGCCGTCGACGTACTCGAAGACGATGAAGTGTTATCTGTCTTCACGGCATTACTTAACCTCGCAGAGTGTAGGAGACGGTTCTTCTTCCTTCAAAAAACTTCGTCGTTTCGAGACGTAGCCATCACTTCAACGTGTCAAGTCGTTCAATTAGATGCTTCAGCGATAATTGTCGCGCCAGAGCCAGATCGAATGACATTGTTTAAACTCTCTCCTATCGCCCTAACTCTTAGATAAATTTAACTCCTCAATCTTAACGGAGAATTTAAAACTTCTTTATAACTAGCCGAGACCGGCAATCGTCTTCTTCCATCGGGATAAACAAGGAGACGGTGGAACCAGCCTAATAATTATCCGCCATTTAATCCCTTCTTCTTCCAATATTCCGAGGGGAAAAAAACGAAATTTTTCACTATTTAAGAATTATTTTCGTTCGAATTTCTTAATATTTTTCAAAAATTTTGCCGCCGATACGCCATTATAACGTTATAAATTATCGCAGAAATATTTCGTCCGGGAGAAATTATGAGCTTAAAGTCGACTGCTTAAAATGGATAAATATCGACTCGGTTTTAAGTTTATACATTTTACTAAGAGGTCGAAAGGTGAAGGATTTTGCATATTTTATAAAGGAAGAAAGTATTTTTATAGTTTAGCCGAACTTAGCAAAGTAAGAAGATTCTAAGGTACAGTACTGTACATTCTCCAAAACGGAAATAAAGCGGAGAAGTAAAGGAGACCGAAATGAGATGTGAGACACGTTCACCCCATCTATTTAAATACACATCAATGGCTAAGACGGTCTCAGATTTCCTTCCATTATCTCACTCTTCCATCTTTAATACTTTCCTCTCCCATCACTCGCAGTTCGTCGGTTACGAGTTCCATCCAGCCCCTCCTCTTCTCCATCCATCCATCCTCTTAAAGTCGGTGATATATATACCTGTAACCCACATACGGACCCTTCGGGACGGGTCCGATTGAAAGAAGTGGAAATGAAGAGAAGTGTCGGCAGTTTGGTCCCTCTGGGATCGATGTGGCCCTGCACTGTCGGCCTTCTTTATTGCTCACCGAGGAATTTACTCTTCTCTTCTGCTGATTGAGTCGGTTCGAAAGGATGAATAAAAAGCAGCAAATGCCTCTCTCTTTCTCTCTGCCCTCCTCTCTTTAATTAACTTTCCCGCTCCCGCTTTAATTTTTTCCCTCGCTCTTTATTTTCTCCCCCCTCGCGACTCGACGATCGGGATAACCTTGTTTTAACCTGTTGGCAAATTATGACTCGTTTCGTTATCTGTAAAATATGCGAACCGATGTCTTCGATGACTCTTCACGCTTCGCGTCGCTCACGTTTTTTTTAAATATAAGATTTCACAACACATGTGTTTATTTTTCTTTACTAAGCACTCGGAA